TGTTGAATGTGAAACTGATGATGTGCCCTGTAAACTTTCACTCAATCCACAATAAAAACCTTAAATTAAAAAAAAAGAAAAAAAAATGCTTTGAGTTAAAGAAGACCATATTAAAGAAACTAAATAAAAGAGTCCAAAGACATTAAAACAGCAAAACTAGGTACACAAATGATCTCTTCAGTAGATTAGGAACAACATTGTACAGAATAGAGAGGATAAAATTGAATGAGCCTCAATGAGGAGATCATCCATCAAGTTTAAAAAGTAAAGCAGAAGGAAAAAAGACATAGATTAAATCACTTAACAAATAATAATCAACATGAAAGGCAGATAAAGAAATCCAAAGTACGAATCACCAATGACTGAAAAGTAGAACCAAACCTAAAAAGTTTTCAAATACAAACCAACTTTTTGAGAAATTAATAATAACCTAATTACTAATTTGAATATGACATCATGTTCCAATAAAAACTTATTAAATTGACTGACAATGTGATTTTTTATTTGTTTGTTTAGTTTCCAATGAAGAAAGGAAAATATTATTCAGTTATCTAGAAAGATAACACGTGGACAGAAAAATCAAATTGTTTTTAGGTGCTTTCTAATAGTGACCTTATGTATAACAGAAAAAAACATCCTTGGTCCTGTACCATCATCACAATCATTGCTAAATTTGAATCCATTGTTTAAGCCAATGTGTTAAGTTTTCTCATCTAGTGTTTTCCAATGCAATGCACAACACCATATATGCAACAGTATAATTTATCCATTGTAACAAATGAAAGAAAAGGTCATTTAGAATTAGAATGAACAGCTACAATCTTATTCAAATATGAATGCAGCTGACAAGCATTTGCAAATATAAAATAATTCAGGGAATCCATTATTCCATCTTTGACAACAAGATTTTTCCACATACTTATTCACTCTGTATATTAAGCAAAGAAACCAAGAAGCCAGACTATATAAAGAAGACTATGGCATCAAGATTGGAGGCAGACTCATTAACAACCTGTGATATGCAAATGTTGCGTACTGAAAGCAAAGAGGACTTGAAGAACTTACATATGAAAATAAAAAACTAGAGCTTGAAATGTGGGTTACACCTCAACATAAAGAAAACAAAAATCCTCACAATAGGATGAATTCATAGCATCATGATAAACAGAGAATTGAAGTTATGGGGATTTCATTTTACTTGGAGCCACAATCAATGTCCACAAAAGCAGCAGTCAAGATATCTAAAGACATTGCATTTGGTAAATCTGCTACCAAAAAACCTTCTTTCTAAAGACATAA